TGAATTGCCTAGATTTCAAGAGCTGCTTAATTCCAGTGAAGGTGAAGAAACAAATAGGATGCTACATGAAAGGCAGACTCTGTGCATCCTAATGAATTTGCTCTGCTTATGTAGAGAAGAAGGATAAGTGACAGCTCAGATGGGCAGGCAAAGAGGCTGCTTGGTAAGTAGAATGAAAATTTTCGAAAGGCTGCTCTTCTCCTGAGAGTAATAAAGAAAACAGAGGGGCAGCAGAATTTAACGAGAGGCTTCCCTTCTTAGATCTGATAACTGGGAGGAAGGGATGTAACACATTTGCTAACCCAGCCAGTGAAGAAGGCATGGCCTATGTGGGGTTAACACCTATTTGCTTCAAAAGCCAGGCGATTCAGCTGCAGGATGGCATTTGCTGGGACACTGGCAAACAACGGGAAGAGGAACTTACATACACCCAGTGCTTTTTTCTTGGGGGGGGAGACACAGGGGTACGCATACCCTTAAAAATTTTGTGAACCTAGGTTTGACCTCACTGAGGGGCAGTATTTCAATATGAGTAGAAAAATGAGAGTACCCCTAAACATTTTTTTTTAGAAAAAAGCACTGCATACACCTTTCCCCTTCTGTGGTGACTACTGTACAGTTGTCTGTTTTATTGTGTATTAAATATATGGTAAGCTGCCTCAAAAAACTTTGGTTAGTAGGCAGGGCATAAATACTGCTAAATTTTAAATTTAGGTTTTTATTGTATAGTTTTACATTTTTTATTGCTGTGAACCACTTTGATATATATTTTAATGGCATAGCAGTATACAATTTTTAATGAATAAATAATAAACTACTGCTGAATCTTCATTGCTCAACTCCATAGGCCACACACACACACACACACACACACACACACACACACTAGATGGGGAAATCCAAATCAATTTAGCATATTTCGTCAAATAACATGCCTTCAAAAAGGAAATAAATAATGTCCCCTCTCCTGAACAAAAGGGGCACTGATGCCTGCCATTAATTAGCAGATAGGTACTGCAGGCATGATAGGGGTGTCCCCCCCTTTAATGCCTGTCAGAGACTGGCTGGATACTGAGGAGTGGGCACCGGGAGAAGGGAGGTTGGATCCTGACTTGGAAGAAGGGATCAGTGATGTGGGGGAGCCTGTGACAGCCAGGAGACAAGAGCCAGAGGCAGGAGAAGCTGCAGGACTGGAGAGTGAAGAATGGGCGCAGAAGTAGGGGAAGATAGGTCAGGCTGGTGTAAAGGCTTCCACCCCTCCTCCTCCTCCTGCTGCTGCTGCCCCCAACTTCACTGCTCCACTGTCTCTTAGGACCAGGCGAGAACTGAAGAGGGAGAAGCAGCAGTAGATTACACACAGGCGTAGTCTTTGCCTGCTTGCACACAGCTCGGGTGAGGGAAATACATAAGCTAAATAAAGTAAAAAATTTATAAAATGTGTCCAGATCTGTTGATTATTTTCCAAGAGCACTGCTGACTTTCATGCAAAGCCAAGTAAGGGTTCCTTTTCTGCACCCTCTAGATGTTTTTCAAATGTTTAGCGGCATATCAGCAGTTGCCAGCATTTGGTAACCAGCACTGCTTTGCATAGCAAGACAGACAGCAATGTAACAGCAACTCAAAGATACCCCCTACTGGCAAAACAGAGCTTCCTTGTGGGAATTGCTCTGGATATTGCTTTTACAATTATCTTACTTTTAAGTGCATATGCACGGATGTTTCCATTCCAGCTATTTTTCTGGGGAGTGGCTGCTGTGAGTTTGGAACTGGCATCTTTTGTTACTACTGCTGTATAAGGATGCATGTACAAATGGTTCATTCTCATCCATTCCTGCTAAATATTCACACTTTGATATAGCTTGGTAAGCCTTCCAGACATAGCCATTTTCAGGTCTTTTAGCACTGAGTACATAGGATCATGTTGTAAATCTGCTAAGGACAGAGCAGTAGAGGAGAACTTCTGATTATCTGTGTATGCACATACTATTTTCCTAGCAGATTTAACTCTCCTAGTTTTGTTTTGTTTTCTGTTAACACAACAGTGTCTCACTACAGAATATGTGCTTGAACACTAATTAGAGGCATTGTGTATCTCACTAAATGCTGCTGCGCAACTCTCATGCATACCTTGCGATTTTCATACTTTCTCCTTACAGCCCTGAGTCATATCTATCATTCTGACCATTTTCTGTAGCATTTTCAGTGCTCTGGAAAGCACAAGCACTTTGCTCAAGAACACAAAATACCAACCCAAAGCAAGTAGAGTGCAGCTGAAGAGCAGGCCGCTTCATCAAACCAACCCAAACACTTCTCTTAGCAGCAGGCAGTAGAAGCTGGCAAAATCCTGAGGTAGTTCCATAGTAAACATTGCCCTAATAATAATAATAATAATTTGTTATTTGTACCCCTACCATCTGAGTTGCCCCAGCCACTAAGAAGCCTAGGAAGGCCTGAACAATTAATTTCCTGTGACGTGCAAAAAGCTCTCCTTTACTGACAAACACTCTAAAATGGATAAGCCGTACTTTTCTTTTCTTTTACACAGTCATTAACATTTTCCTGTCGTTTCACACCTCATAGTACTATTTTGATGTTATTGTTCTTTGTGTGTTTCATTGGTTTCTGCAGTCCAGATTCGAAAAGCCTAAGACTGATTTTGAGGGGGGCAAATCTCTCCCAGAAAGAGCAGGCTAGATAAGGTTTTGCTCAGTGGGCACATTTCCATCAGTTGGACTAAGACCTGAGAAACTAGGGTTCAAATCCCAATGAAACTCACTGGGTGACCCTGGGCCAGTAACTGCCTCTCAGCCTAACCTACCTTCTTCTTGTTGTTTTTTAGATTTATATACCACCCTTTATCAAAAGCTCCCAGGGCAGTAGACAACATTAGAAGCATCTTTTAAGGAACATAATAATAATAGCATAATAATAAAGAGCATAATAAAATAATCATAACAGTCGTCGACGTCCCCTTAAATAGACCATAGATTATTTAATGGCTGAAGGTCTGGGTAAAGAGGAATGTGTTTTCCTGGCGCCTAAAGACATGTAATGGAGCCAGGCGATTCTCTCTGCGAGGAGCATTCCACAGATGGGGAGCCACCACACAAAAGGCCCCTTCTCATGTTTCCACCCTCCAAAATACCAGGCAGGGTTCAAGGATCCTTTCAACTGCAACAAATTAAATTAATGCCACCTGCCCTCCACAATGAGGGGTAGGGATGGAAAGAAAGGCAAACATGGAACTTTACCCCACACCCTTTTGCAAGATTCCTGTACCTTTAAAAGCCTGGTGATGACAAGACTCCCGTCCTGTGACAATGTGGAGTCTCTTCAGGATTTGCACCCCAGGCCTTTGCTTTGAAAGCCTGCTGGTTGGATAGCAGCACTGCAGCACTTGGGTTGAAAAATGGTGGGAGCACTGATGATTTATTGTAAATATTATTGATGTTGTTGTTATTTCTTAGTACTATATATGCAGTGCTTTTTTCTAAAAATAAAAAACAATATATTTAGGGGTACTTTCATTTTGACTCAAGAAAGCCACCATTTTATAGTTCGAATCAGGGAAAATAAATACAGTAAATGGACAAAAGTACAAAGAACATGCATTACTCATATTGAAATACTGCCCCTCAATGAGGCCCAACTTTCATCAGTAAAACACTACACAGCCATATACCACACTGCTTCACACATTAAACGCTCGCTTCCGCCTGAGGCTCAGGAAACACCGTGACAGGGATTGAGGCCGTCATCGGGGGTAGCAATGGAAGTGACGATTCCCCGTGCTAGCGAAGAAACGGAAATTTTAAAAAAGTTTCTTGTCCTGTTAAGAGTCAAAAAACGTTTAGGGGTATGCACCCCTTTGCGTCCCCCCAGAAAAAAGCGCTGTATATATGTTTCTCTGACCGTTATTGTTTTAATATTATGTAAAATGACGCTCTAATTGAATGCTTATGGGTTTGTTTTCGGAGGCTGTATTAAATTTACTTACTTAAAAAAATGATTTGTATTATGAGTTTTTCATCATATAACAGCAAGCAAAGGGATGTTTGCAATGTTAGTAATGATTTACTTTCTTGTATAAGAATAGCATGACTATTTTTGGTTCCTCAGGGATCCAATTTGTTACAAAGGTTGGTTATTATTATTTAATGTACTGCTGTTAGAAAAACTGAATAAAAATAATTACTTAAAAAAAAAAGCAGCAGCAGCCAGGTCAGAGTACTACATTTCCAAATTGCCTATTCTTCAACCTTTTTACAACAAACCAGGCTCTTGAGCTTCGACGCTGTCGTCTTCCAGCCCAGTTAACTTCTGTTCCAGGGGCCGCTGAGGAGGTGGGCAAGATGGCGCCATTATCTCCAAGCACTGCACTGAAGAACTGGAACTTCTAATGCTGGGTTTTCCCCTCGAGGTACCTATTGCATCCACGTTCGGAGGCTTTGAAATGGTTCTGCTGAAAAATGCCAGAATGGTCTTATTTGAAATGGGGGAGCCATTTGCTTTGGGACAGGTATGGGCCAGCTTTTGGGGGCTAGTGGGGACATTTCAAGTTTTGAGACTGCTGTGGGCTCCAGGCACAAAATGGCATGGCTCGATGCAACATGGCTGCCCAGAAGGAAGGCATGGCACAATGTACAATGAGAGAGTACCTGGCTGAAGCTTGACCGATAATTGTGCTTCCATATCAGAAAAGGCTTAATCTGTTGAATTTCTGCCTGGCACACAGCTCTTAAAGGCAGGAGAAGCCCATTTTCACCAATTATCAACCCTAAACTAAAGCGTGGCTTAGTGACTAATTCATGTAGGGGTGCACAAGGAGGAGAGGTCTAATGAAGAGGACTATTTCACTGTAGCTTTTCAGTTTTTATATGAATGTGTAGTAGCAGGTTTTTTTTTAACTCAATATTTTAACTTTGAATTATAAATGAGTCTTTTCAAGAGTAGCAACGACTTTTAGGTGCTGGTTTCAGCCATACAAAACAACTCAAGTGTACTGTTCTTGATCACAGCTCTTTATTTTATTTCTTCAAGTGTACAAAACTATTGACCAATGGTAGAGCTTAAAATTTACAAATGGCCTTTTAAACAAGTTGGAACTCAGCTGTACATTTAAGCATGCAACACACAATTTCCACTTCTTTTAAAGGAATTACTTGCTTCTCTTATCACACTGCATGCAGCATGATTTTTTTAAAAAAAGAAAACAGTGCAATAATAATGCTACTTTACATGATATGTAGAAACAAAAAACTTTCATGAATAGGGTTTTCTTCTCTCTATATATATAAAATATGTGCATTAACATTCACATTGTCTGACATAACTTCTTACTTTTCCTTACATATATTGTATGCACTGGATTAACCACTGGTCTGTACAGCTTTAGTAAAACAGCCCATTTTCAGTTTAAAAAGTGTAACAGTATAAAAATCCAAGCAATGTGTTAAAGTAAAAAAAAAAATGTGGTGGGAACTGTGTGAAGCTCAAAAACTAAAGAATGTGAACAAGAGTTCAAGAATAGCAGAATGCTTTATATTTAAAAGTGCTTTCCAGATTTGAGCCAAAGTTTAAATCCACTAAAAGTGTTTTTTTGGTTCACACAAGGAAGCTATTTGATTAGAAGTGTTCTTTTCCACAAGCTCCATCAAGAATTGGAGACCTAGTTTTCTTTCAATTCTTAGTAATTTTCCTCCTCACATCCCACACACACTTTTGTTCACAAAAGTTTATTTTCTCAGAATATTTTGACCCATGAAAACCAAAGTGAAGCCAAAATAATCTGTCTGTGACGTTATGATTTTTATTATGGCTATTTTTGTAGTATCACAAACAAAGCATTGCAGCTTCATTGTATAAGAAGACACACTCCAAAATCTGGAGATCTTGTTGGGTCCTAGTCATTACTAGTTATTCAAAGAAAAAAATATCTGATGTGTTCTTCAATAAATGTACCATATCTTTTTCAAATTGTTTGTCTGAAAGTTAATATTGGAAATATAGCAACTTCCAAGTTTAATGAATAGATATGGCACAACCTTGACAACATTGTTATCATAAACACTCCTCATCTCTGTGTGAATTCCATCAAGGCACTATTACAATACTCAAGTTTCTGATGGCCTGCTCTCAAAAGATGCCCAAAAATTGAGGATACAGTAGAAACATAGCAGTCACAAGAGTTTAGCAGTTAAGTATTCTATTTACAACAGGATAAAAACCATGAAGAAAGAGTTGTTAAAGCAAGTAACTACCATCGTGGTAGATGAGATGAATGTATTTAACTCTCATTCCATTTCATTAACATTGAATTGGCAAGAAGTTTTTCCCCAAAGGCACAGGAGGGCAGTGAACTGTAACATCCTTTGATACATACAGATTAGCTGTTAGAATGAACTTTTCATGAAAAGGAAGCATGCTGTACTCCTATAAGGGATGCTTAATAGTTAAAAACTAATCTAACACGTGAGTTACAAGTTTTTGTGTATTGCCAGAACTCTATTTACTACTTTACACCCAACACATTTAGTTTCTTTTTAGGTATGTTAATGGTTACATGGCATATTAAAGGCTTATAGTGCATTTCTTTTAAACAAACAGCCATAAATATGGCAGTAACAAGCAATTCTGAATATTTTCTACTTCTGTACATAAAATATACACAATCGAGTGAGAAATCAAGTGCTCTGCTTTAAATACTAAAAATTAACAGGGACGCCGTTGCCTTCAGAGTTCTACAAACTGTACAATCAGGGTTTTTAGAACTATGTGCAGAAAACAGTTGGTCTGAAGGAATTTAAGGTCGTATACACATAGCTAAATATTATATTTGAACAAACTATGCCTATAATCAACCACATTGTATAAAAAAATTAATCAGGCAATAATTTCCTTTGTTTTGCTCACCCAAGGAATTCTGTAAAGGAGCAAAGCAGGAATTTAAATTTTAAGAGCTGTGCTTTTTATATTTGAGACAGGAGAAGACAGGACTCTTGTGACTTAACTTTGCCACAGAAAGTTTTCTTAAAAGCAAATAAATAAATAAATGCCCCAAAGAATAAAGCAATTGAATACGTTTTCCAGCTCTACAAAAAAAATGCACGAATAGAACATATGTGCAAGCAGGCAGACATAGAATATATTAGGTATGCACATTAAGCAGACTGGGGCGAAAGTCCAGTGAAAGCAAGTTAACATAACAGTTTTGACCACTAGGTATTGCAGTGTATGAACAGTTAGTTGTCCCAAATGCTCACTAATACATATAGATCAACCTCAGCATAAATATTTGGTGGTGCTACTGTCAACGGAGATCTTTTACCAACTTGTATTTGTAACTACGACAGCATCCCAGGCAATCTGTAAAGCATCCAGCTAGGCAGACTAAACTGCCTGCTACAACCATGTTAAATCTTAACTTTGGATTTGCAGCACTAGAAACCTGTTAATACACTGTTATGGAATTGTGTGTTAAGTGTGCAGTATTTGATGCGGATTTAAATATGATTTTTAAAATTTGGATTTGTCAAAAAGTCCACAAGGCAGAACAAAAGGGAAAGACCTGAAAGACAGGCAAGACCAGGATGGGAAGCCTGTCCAAATATTGCTGGACTCTTAACTCTTCACTTTTACAGCCAGTAATGATGGGAGTTAAGAGTTCAACAACATCTGGAGGGCCACAGGTTCTCCATCTTGGGCTGGACAAATGCAAATATTAAACCAGAAAGATTTGAATCCAGGATACCTTACTCTGCTTAAGTTGTTTTAGACTACATAACAAAAGTAGTAAATTGACAGCTTCTTATATAACATTTGACTGCTAAATTGATCGACAGCGTGCCACGTACGCATGTCTTACTGAAAGAATTTATATTTGCTGTAAAATAAGATCACTGAAAATTGGGACATCCTACTTTTCTGCATGTTGCCTTGCATCTTAAATTCGTACTATATATGTCATGTAAACAAGCAGAATAGCAGGACTAAAAATTGGTTTTGAACAGATTTGTCTTTTGGAAATTTGAAAGCATCCAGTAAGATTTGAAGACTGGGTTTTTTTCATTTACAGTTGAGTGCTAAGATCTAGGCCCCCTCAAAGCGAATGTTTATAAACAGCACTGTGTGGGAATTACCTGGCTCCTGGGATTTATTCTTGAAACGCTGAGGTTGCTACCCAAGACTGTATATTATAGCATAACTGTTCAGACACAATTACATTCAGATGGCTCAAATGGCTCCATTAAACCCAGTGTTTGTTGAAAACTATGCTGATGCTTCATTACCCTAGAAAGTCTTTTCTGGTATCAAACAGAACCGTTTTTCTACCCCAACAGTAACCACGGCTTCCACTGTCAACATAATGAGTTTCTGAAACTGTTCACTGTATAATACAGCACCTTGCAATTTGCCAACAGACGATGCTGTTTGGGAAAAAATGAATTTAATGTTGCTGAGCACACAAAGCTCTCTTTGGACTGTTGTAATGGTATTTCTCCTAAATTCACTAATGTGATCAATGGAATTCCATTTTCATAAACTAAGGGAAACTGCAGATACGTAACAATCACAGAAATGTGCGATTAATGAAATGTTGGACTAATTGCGTAAGCATCTTTTAATAGCAATGAACAACTGAGTAGTTTAATCTTTTTACCACTATTAAGTTTCCAAATGAGTATCACTGGATATAATTTTCCTAATGAATGTATGAAGACCATAATTCCCACTAAACTCTGAAGACATTTTAGGTTAGAATTCACTTGTTTTGTTAATATGACCACTGGAGATTATATGATTACAGTGAAGAAAGATATGTGTTTTTGAATTCCCAGACTGCTATATTCTGTACTGGTATTTATCAGAGCAGTCTACAACACTTTAGAATATGCAAGGCAGTTATCCAACGTTTTAAAGATGCAAAGAGAAAGGTACTGGTATGTAAGCATTGTCCATGTCATCTGGATAGGACGGAATATAACGGACATTGCTCCATGTGAGCACAGCCTTTTAAGGCCAAGACTTAAATCTTCTGTGTCCCTGTGTTTTAGATAATATTGCCTTATTTGACGCCAAACCAAGATGAAAATATGGTCCCACGAAGAACATGATATTTCCACTTCATATATTCATCTGTCCAGTCATTCTATTTAAACCAGTAATTGATTGCAAGCTGCAGGAGAATCATCAGTAAAATGAAGACATAGTGCTTGAAGTTAAAGAAGTTATTATCTGGAGTCTGTGAGCTTGAAGTCATTCTGGTTCTTAGAGCTGTGATGTCTCTGCAAAAATGTATGAACAAAAGAGGTGAATTCAAAAGGTTGCTAATTCTGAAACCACAGAAGTTATTAAAATATCACATCCTAAATACATGGCAATTAGATCAGGATTTGTTCCAGCTATTTTAGAAATTCCTACAGTACTGGTTTTCACCAGCGTCAGAGGCCACAATTAGAGCCTTGGGATGAAACCTCAAGTTCTAAAAATGGGGGACCAAAGGGGGTGGGGTTCACTTTAGAGCTGGCACAAATATGTGGGCCCAACTTCTACAAGCTCCAACAGTGAAATATTTGGAAATTTCTGCTCCAAAGTAACTTTTGGAAAAGCATATATTTGGCTATTTGGGGCATGAGTAAAGCAAAAGACAACTGCTTTAGGGATGGTAAAAACTGAACAAAAAGAAATACCACATGACTATCCTCTAAGCAATGCTCCTGTACAGTTGACATTCATTTCAAAGGGATTTTGGCGAGAAACACACATTAGATCAACTCCTTATTTAGAAAGCTAAAACAGAGTCACATTTTTGGTCTGTGAAGCTTTAATGAGTTTCAGTAGTAGATCTATCAACTAAAGTTTTAGTTAATCTACCATAATAATATCGAAATTTCTGGTAATCCACTTATTCAATGTGGAAGATTAGACCTAGATATTAACTCTCATGCCATAGACAAAAATGCCTGATAACTATTCTTAAGAATGTAAGAGATCTTATGATCGAATGTTGTCTTGTTTTGGCCAAGACAAATACAAGAAACAAAGCAGAGGATGAATATTGTGCAGATCTAAAGGAGGCTCCTGAGACAAGTACTCCATGAAACAAACATGGAATTTTCCTACTACTGAACAAAACATGGGTAGAGACACAATAAAACTAGTGAATTCCTGGTCCACCCCACAAGTACAAAGAAACTGGTTAAAGAAAGTTCGGAGATTATATTGCGTTCATTTAAAAAACTGGTCATGCGTCACTAAAGAAGTCTGATTTACACATTTGAGAACTGATGACCTACGAGGATGGTTTGATATAATGTGTTTATTTAGCAGCTGATTCACGTATAAATAAGTGGCATTTTTTATTTTGACCAAAGCACTCGCGCTAAACATAGACAGAAAAACTTTCAAAAATACACACCTTCTAATGTCTTCTTGCGTCTCTCTTATAGATTCAATGGCACTTTGCAGTTCACCAAGGTCTAGCGTCTTCTTTCGGATTCTTGCACTGTGTTTGTGTTGTGCTTCAGAAGTAATTCAAATAATGCAAGATAGGTTAAAGAATGGAAATCTTTAACGAAGGCAAATGCTTTCAGTTCAGCAAACAAAATCACGCAACTTTTCTCTTTTTCTGCCTTTCATAACTCAGGACAAAAAAACTGTTCCCAGTCCTAAAATAAATGCACCGTTTTACAACACAACCTCTTTAGTCTAAAGGAGAACAAAAGGATGTATCTACTACTGCATTCTATCCGAAAAGAAAAAAGTATAGTGTGAACTTACCTTCACTACCAGAGGAGTCCTGATTATCGGGTTCTGGCGATGAAAAGCCACTCTCCCCTTTCTTCGATTTTGCAGACCTCTTTATTTTTGCAACACTAACCTGCAATTCATAAGACTTATCTGCTCAGTAACAAGACAGATAAAACACCTGCTGTGACAACCTGCTTTGATATTAGAAAGAGGTCAGTCTGTTCATAATTTTGACAATGCATTATGCTCTTTAGAGTGGTCTCTGTAAGGCTGGAGGGATTGACTCTGGTTGTTGTGAACTTTGTGGGTTGGAAGAAACATCTGACCATGTTATATGAGACTGTTTGAGGTATATGGAAGAAAGAGAGCCTCTGCTTCATAGGATTAGTGATCTGGGTACTGCTATAAGGGCTGCTCTTTGAGACCAAAACCTCTGGGGCTTGGTGTTGGAGATTCTATGGATATTTTTGAGAGATACAAGGATTTATAAAAGACTGTGAAGGAAGTGAAATAATACTGTTTGCAGTAATGGGGCCTTTCCTTTTGGCCTTGCAATGCCATTAAACCCAGGGAGAAGGAGGAGAAATCAACAACCAGCTTTCATGTTTGAAATGTAAGGTAAGGATGGGAAGGAGTTATGCTGACTGCCATTTAGCTTCTTCAGTTCTGCTAACAGTGAACTTTCCTTGCTTATCCCCAGGTAAGGAAGGATTTCATTACAATTTTAATCTCCCCAAGGCAATTGGCCATGAGACAAATATTGAACTCTACATTCTAAAGGATAATCTGCTGTTTTTTACTTGCCCACGTAATATCATACAAGAGCTTACCATTGGTGTCCGATGTCTGACTTTTGTTTGGATAGCACAATCTTTTTCAAACTGTATCATATCATTCAGTGGATCCCAAGGTCTTGTGCTGTGGGCAACAGAGAATGGACACAGTGCAAGTTAAGTAAGTCTACTCAAAAAGAGGGGAAAAATCATCCTGTTTCTTTTCAAAATGCAAGGTACTAGCATTTCATGAAGATCAAGAATGGAATATGCATCTTGTCTGATCTGGAGGGTCTCTTCATCTAAAGAAAAACATTATCCGATATATCTGCATGAAGGATCATATTACCAGTCAGACTACATACTATAGCCAAGTATGTAGTATGTGACAAGCTGTTTCAAAATTGTTTGCTAGTATGCCAAGTAGAAAGGGAAAGCAAACCAAAACTTACTCTGCAAATCTGTAGTTCCATTCCCCTGTGAGTGGATCTGGCTCAAACAGTTTGCATACCCACTCTTCATCTGCAAGTTTCCTTTCTTTGGCAGCCTTTCTCTGTGCTTCTTCAAGAACACACTTCTCCTGAGTTGCTTCTGATTGGTCTTTGTTATTTATAGCTCGGGTCACATGTTGCCAAAGTCTAGCACATACAAGTAATACAACTGTTAAGAATCAGACACTGGTCCAAATATATTCATTGCAAGTTTATTTCTGCTGTATCATCTGAACAAAACTTACAATTACCACATAAGCTTGATTTCAATTTGTTACCTATTTTAGAAATTATTTCTCCAATTTACTCCAACTCAAGTTCCTGTATTTTTTGCTGCACTATGTTTTTCACCCTCCACCCTTCCTGCTTCCAGCCATTAGCTGCATGATGCTTGCTATGTATTGATCTATAAGAAAACAGGTTTAATATGAACTTACTTCTCTGACTCAAAGTCACCTTGCTCCTCAAACTTCACTGTGTATCTTCTTAATCTGCGCTGTCTGATCTCAGGTGTTGGATTCCAGAATGTGTCTGAAACATCTGTCTTTTTGTCCCTAATAATAACTTCACTGTCCTGTAATGTTTAACATATTAGATTACTTTGTAGTCAAAGAGTAAACAATCTTACAAAGTCAATAAGAACAAAGACTTCCTTCAGAAAGTCACTTTTTGCAACCATGAGGTTTGTTTTGCCAGTTTGGCATACGTGGTTGGGGACAATTTAAAGTCAAATCTGAAAATAGATCTCTTATTTCAGCAAGAGGAACTTGATTTAAGGGAACCTGATTTACTTTCAGTCAGGTTTTGACCTCAGATGCAGTACTTCTGCAAAACTTTTTGCTACCAATGGAATCTAGAAAACAAAGAATCTGAAGTGAAAGTTCAAATTTTTGAAAGGCCTCTGAAAAGGTACAATAAATATTTGATGTGAATGGCAATTAGGGTAATCAAAGGGGGATGGGGGGGGAATGTGTCATTCTTAACAGAATTATGTACCAATAATTCAATGAATGTAAGAGAAATTTTAAAGGGCTACCCAACAATTGAAAATAAACATGCTACTCACCCAGTGGCCTTCCAGAGTAGCTAGCACTTCTTTTCCAAGTTTAATTTTCCCCATTATCTGATTAACACTGTCATTGCTGCCCAAAAATGGCTATTAAAGAAAAAAGATTAGATGCTTGATAATGCTGTGTACAACTTTATAAGATAATGCCTCAGTTAACACATTGCATTATGCCAATATTTTAAAACAAATGATGGGTTTAACGTAAAAGTTCCCATAGTGCTCCTTCCTTACACCTATTGTGCTGCAGATGAAGTAAGCCAAAGGGAGGCTTGCCGTGTCTTCTGAACCCAGGTACGTGGCTTGTTTATTCCCAAATCATGAGCGGAAACCAGTGTTTGTTCTACTGCTTGTGGTTTGTTTGGTGGGAAACCAAAAGCTCATGTTCAGAGGACACAACAAGCCAGATTCTGGCATCTTTGGTCTGCAGAAAATGACAGCAGTAGGAGAGAAGTTCTTTGGGAACTTCTGAGCAGTGTGCACCAGCATGCTGCTCATTCACATCAATGTACTGTTTATTTAAAGTAGGGTTTTGTGTGACAAGCAAATTAGGCTACTAAAAGGTTTCTGAAATGTCAGCCTAACGTATGCCAAAGAAAATGTCTGTCATCATTCCCCCAGAACTAAGTAGAATCAAATACTGAACTCTTCTTCCATTCCTTGAGAGATATCCGAAGAAAATTATCCACAAAGAAAAATTATGCTGGAAGTGCACAGAACACATCATGACTAGAGCAACTAATAACCATGGCACTATATCTGAGCTACAGAAGTATTAAATTTACTACTTTATTTTTATTTAAATCAGTGCTAGGGGAATCTATGGCCTCTGGATGCTGTTGGACTACGGTTCCCATAATCCCTGGTGTCCAACACCATCTGGGAGGCAGCCGGTTCCCCATCTCTGGGTAAAATGAATGGATTAATATAAAAGTCGTGTTTTTCTGCATAGTTTCTAAATAAATGTTATGAACTATTCTACTGATTAATAAATACAGCTAACTTTGGGTCAGATTTTTTTTAAAAAACAGAGAGTGGTTTTTTTTGTCCAAAACTGTAATATGCTTAGGGTTGTGCTGTTTACTGAGAAATACGTCTCACTGAGTTCAATAGGTAAGTGTGAAAAGAATTGCAAGGTACTAGAGGGTTTATGATGATGATTATCACCATCACCACTAATATTCAAAGGTTGCTTCCAACATTTAAAATATAAACTAGGCTAGTAAAAGAGGTCTCATTTCCTCTGCAGAACCAAAAGAATGAATGCACTACTCTGTATTTTCTAACGCTAAATCCTCTGGTGCCTATAAACAGGTTTGACTAACCTTTAGCTTGAATTCAAGTGCTGCACTGTATCCAGTTTTTTCACATGTGATGCTAACAGTTCCTCCAAGCTCTAAAGTCATTGTGCCATACAGAATTCCTGTTAAGAAAGAACTCGTTTTAATTCTAATTCTGTTACAAAGTTACCTCCATTTTGTACTTCCATTTCTACCTACAGTATAATTAAAGATGGTATACTAAAGCCCATGCCTTTTGTTACATTCCAAGAAAAATTAACTGACGGCAATATGGATAACAAGAGGAAAATTCCACCAACATGGCTAATCCTTTTCTTTAAAAAGCCACTGTCTATCAAAGGCTCATAAGCCCTCAAGCAACAAACAAAGTCAGCAGAAATCTTCAGCTGGTTAAATTCAAAAATACTAAAATCCTCACTGGAAGACATTACTTATTGGAAGTAATTATTGAGAAGACATTATTTATTCTACTGCTTTATCTTCTCTGCAGAAATTCAAATTGTTTATAAGTTCAAATATGCATAACTACTGTGTGATAACCAACAGCACCATATACGGAGTAACTCTGCTGATTTTAATGAGTCTGCTCTGAGTGTGACCAATGTTTGCTATCATTCACTGTATGTAGCACTGTGTCCTTCATTGTCCTGTTCTTAGGTATACAGAGAATGCCCTCCAAATGTCCCAGCGCTGTGCAAAGCTCAGTATGACCTACAGCTATCAATTTCTCTCCCCTTGGAGACTCACAACCCTAATCTTCTTTTAGAAATGATGCAACTATCTGGACTGTTCTTTCACAGAGAGGGCTCACTTTTGCATTGAGTAGGAGGGTTTTAGCATATTTTAAGTTCCATCTATCATGTATACCCCATTATTCAATCTTACATGAAATAAAGGACACCGCTGAATGAAGAAGTGGCCTTTGTGCAACACAACTAAATATTTATTGAAGGATTTTTGCAGACAGAATGTGTCTTCCAAATTAGGGAAGGACCAAATTCCCACAAAAAAAAATGATTTTTTTGGTGTGAAAATTGGGTCATACTCTAGTCCATGATTTCTCACGGGCCAAAACAAGCAACAGTTATTTTTTAGCAATCATTTTTCTCCCTGAGTTATGGTTATGAGGAAACGAAGAAACAGTAGTCATTTCTTCTCCAGTTTCTTCACTTAATCACACCTCCATACAAGTCGGCTCAGACTTTGTCTCATTCTCAAGCTATCTGTGCTTGCCAGAAGGCAGGGAAAGCACTTGTAACAAGAATGGATAGTAAGTAGGTTGGATTGGCCAAACTGGTATTTTTACCTTTGCAATGTGCATATGGCATGGTCATTACATATTCCTCTCCTCTGTTTAGGAACAGCAGCCGTCCTTCACCATCCAGAATGGCAGATAATGAATTTCCTGAAAGACAATAAAATGTTATTTGAATAAGATTCAAAGAAGCACATCCAGAGAGTGTACAGAAGATTTACAAGACTAAATAGTGTCCTCACAGAAAATTCTGTAGACTAATATTATTAATTTAAAAGAACTATGGCACTCTTTTTTGTGGAGAGAAAGCTATTTCAGTTCATTTTTATCACTGCGTTCATCAAATTCTTATTATTTAACACACTTTCATCATTAAAAATAGGCACATTTTTGTAGACACTGAAAAAACAAACCCAAGATCTTACCATAAAATTTGGATTTGGCCAAGATATTACCACTAAGGCAAAATCCATCCTTTCGATTGCTTACATAGAAGGCAGATATTGGAGGATGATGAGATACCTGTTGAAAGCAACATAATTCAATATAAGCAGGTGAGTTGCTGTGAAAATCTGTGGCAACAAGCAAGCAGTGCAGAAGAATTATAATTTGGAATCCTAATCACTAGGCAAGTGGATGTAATTCACCAAATATGCAGCTACACACCAAGTATTATTGAAGATACTTGTGCAAAAACATGACATCAACATAATTAAACTAACGGACTACCCAGAAACCTGCAGTAGTTATGACTGCTGATAATTGGCTTATTGTTAAAGAGAAAGTAATAGTTAGAAGTGAGTCAAACTGAGATACACATGCACATACCTCACTATCGCATTTCAGGCACCAGTTTTACTACTAGACAGAGCCACCATCTTTTCTTAACAATTACTTATTATTTTGCCCTTAAATTAGCATTCCACTCATAATCTCTACTCTATTGTGGAGAACCCATCAAACTTGAGATACTCAATATATATCCCAAAAGAATATTTACACATGGGCTAGAAAATTTGAGAACTGTAACATGTTATTCTTAATTAAGGTGGGAAGTACAAACAAGTCATATCCAAATATAGAGAACCATTCTCAAACTTCATTAGTCAGTTCTCAAATGAGTTGATTATGCATGTCCTGCATATAGACACGTTATCACCACAACGCTTGCCTTCAGATGATCAAACTTTGTGAAACAAATTTACGGGTTTCGAAACATCACCTAGCGTATCAGAAAGAACCTCAAATTTTGTTAGAATTCCCGGCTGCATGATTGCAGTAATGGGATTTTTGTCTTTCACATGACGATATATGTTTTGACTCCACAAAGTGGGAAGTGACGGAGACAGGATGTTTGTGTTACTGTGTTCCGTGAAGTGGGACTATTGTCCTTTGTTCTTTTTCTCTTTGCTGTCTGATGCCAGAGAGAGAGGGAGCCATGTTGCAGTGCTCCGTGTGTGTTTATATGTAAATATTAGCTGAAATGCTGAGTTGCTGAGGTCTGTCACGTGCATGATGCACAAACTCTGCGGATCCCTAAGTGTGCGGGTTGGCATCGGTCGCTGTGATGTTCAGGCAGAAGAAAGCTTTTGAAGCTCACGAACGATCAACCAGGAGGGTAGGAACATGCCAGTCGGGCATGTGTCTCTGCCAGGGTCCTACTTGAGTGTAGGCTGAACTCCTGACAACTCCTCAACAAAGACTTGGGATGACGTTGGCTGAGAGATTCCTGCTGACATTTGAAGGAGATATCCACAGTGTCCCACAGTGTCACATAGAGTATTTTGGAATCAATGTCTATGGAATGGAATAGAATCTGTCTAATCTCTGCAGTTAAGATTCTTTTGGAAAATATGTTTGATGTATATCCCAAGTCTGATGGGTCTTCCTCCATAAAAATTGCAGTCCTGTAACCTTTGTATGAAAGAGTTATATGATCTGAAGAGAAACCAGTCACTTGTCCTTTTGGTGTTTCCTTCAACATAGGAAAGAGCCCTAGGCCTAAAATAATAAGAACCGCAATCTAACTGATATCCCTAAAACAGGAAAGGAAAGAAGGAAAAATAAAACATGCTAAAATAGAAGTGTTATGGTTCTATTATGCCAAGCTCTCCTCTGGTCATCTTCATATATTTGATGACACTGTAAATAAAAACAAAACTTGAAGAAATGCTGGTAGTTATAAAAAAACCACACGTATTTGTTACATCTTTGGTAATACCTGTTCAGCTATATAATAAGTCTTGCTATTTGTTATTGGATGAACCCACAAGCAACGGAAGGTCTCACCGAGGATAGGGTTGTAGGGTTTTTTAAGTCCCTGAAAAGAGAGACAATTTTTGCTAAGAAAATACATTCCAACTGAAAAAAGAAGGGCCTAATAGTTTTCAATTCGTAAGTATTTAAAGGAAAGCCCTACGGTGACATTCTCTCTCAGGATAAGCTATGGTAAATTTCATATTTGTAGGGCATATAGAGGCACAGCAACTATGGAAATGTATTTCTGTGACTCACATTACATTTTATTAAACCAGTCCAGTAGTCAAATCACTAGAGAACATTGCCTTTGCACAGTAGTACCACAGTGCTCACATCAAAAGCAGAAGAGGCAGCACTGTGTGTTTATTTGACCACATACTAGTTAAGTATTTAACTGACTACATTTTTAATCCACATTTCCTTCAAGGAGCTCAAAGTGTTGTGCATGGTTCTCCCTCTCCCCATATTATTATCACAACATCCCTGTGAGGTAGGTTAGGCTGAGACACTGTGGCTGGCCCAAGGTCACCAGTGAGCTTCATGGCTGAGTGGGGCTTTGAATCCTGGTCTCCCATGTCTCAGTTCAACACTATGCCACGCCAACTCTCCATATGGCATGTCTTTCACAGGGACCTTTGCCATAGCTGCTATTTGGTGTCTGAGGAGTCAGTCAACCAGACACAGAGATGACTGGTTACGAGTGTTTAGGGAGAAAAAATAATGTGCAAAAAGTATGCCTTTCTTAACACAGAGGACTATATGTATTGATTACTGTGTATTAGTTGTGCTAGCAGAATGATTTGCGCAGGAGGATAGAAAACCAGGATGGTTCTCGCAGGTAGCTGTGCAACAGACTGCTGAAGCCCTGATACTGTCTGATGTACAACTTGCTGCACAACAAGCTACTGCTAACACAACTATTGTGCTAGATTTTACACTGCACAACCATTATTCTCACCCTTAAGCTCCCACAAGAGCTGTCACTATTTTGGGGCTGAGGGTAAAACTGATCAATGGCCCACCCTCCAGAAGCCACATGGTATAGTGAGCATGGTCATGGCCCAAAGTGTTCATGGTCACAGAAGTCCTTTATAATTAAATTAAATTTTTAATTCAAGAAGGTGAAGAGTGGGCAGAAAGGGGCCCTCTTTAACCCACCCTGCCAGCTACAGATATAACCAACAAACACCATGATTAAAGCCACCACCCTACCATCCTACAGGCTTATTATACTAGTATCCAGAAATAGTCTACATGAGTATATAGGCAAATTTTGATCTGCACCAAAGTGTATGGGGGTGGGGGCAAGGAAAAAGAGTGAAAGGGGAAGGGATTTGCTACCACAAAAAGTGTTCGGAAAGTGTTACCTTTGGCTTTTTGTAGAATCCTGACAAATACCATTTCACAACTTGTTTCATACGATTGTAAGCATTCTCTTCAAGGGCAGCTCTAGAAAACAAGATTTGTTAAGCAAATCTAAGTACTTTTTTGGACACAGTCTTTATTTTAATTAAAGAACAATGTACAATAAAATTTCAAAACTATTAACATGTGGATAGAGTAAAAAGCAGATCTTGTCTGTACACAATAAAGAGCAGTGTACAAAAGTGTGAATAAGAACTAATTCAAATACAAGATGGAAATACAATTTAAAGCCAGTAAATATATGTAACAAGGCAAAAACTCAAAAAACAAAACAAGTTAAAACTAAAAAAAAAATCTTGTGTACAAACTAGAAATAATAACAACGCTAAAATGCCTGAGCAAATAAGAAAGCCTTCTCAAAACACTGAAAAACTTGCTGTGTGAAGTCCTTTAGAAATAAATTCTCAAGTCGGGGCAAAGTCTAAAGCATAAAAGGGCCTCTACCTTGTAAAAACCATAATGAACCCCTAACTAAAGGCAGTATTGGATCAGCACCTTTCTTGGTGCTCTCAAGACATGGGCAGGTTGGTGTGGGAACAGACACTCCTTCAGATACATGAATCCCAAGGTGCTTAGGACTTTAAAGGTAAGCCCCACAAAAGAAGGGAAAATTCCAGGGGCTAGAAGTATGATTTATTGCAGGCCTGACATGTTTTACAACTTATTAAGAAAGCAATGTTAAAAAATGCTTCTGAAAACAAAATACTGAGCGGATACATCTGGTTAGTTTTTATTGTAGAGGAATGAAATCAACTCACTCAGATAAGAAGTCTGCATGATAGTAGTAATCAGAGAGCTTATCCAAGAAAGAACGAGTTTCCAAAATAAACGTGGGCAGCACCACCTTGGAGAGGTCCATTCCTGGGCGTACTTGTTTTAGTAATGTCCATATCAAGCTTTTGTTCTCTTCTGATACTGTTTCTGTTTGGGAAGCTTCTCCTGCCTTCAACAACAACAAAGCAGAATAGAACATAAACATGATATTAATTGAAAGAGCACATTTGCAGAAGGTATTTGGTTTCAGTCACCGTGGTTCAAAATTGCCAATGCCTTCTCTATGACGCGGGATGAATTCATATTTATTTTGCATTGGTCAGAGCCCATGTTTGTTAGTAAACTTGCTTCACCCACCCATCAAAAATGCATAATGCTCCAAAGAACAACTTAAGAGAAAGCACTCCAATTGACTCAAGTCTGGGCAATTTATCCCTAAGCAGTTTTTTGTTGTTGTTTTTTAATTAAAACCCGGAGCCTGCAACCCTGAATGAGCAAGGCCTTGCCAAAATATAACATGTGAAGCAATTCACATGCTGCACTTAGGAAACGTGAACTATTTTTTAAAAAACACCAAACAGCTATTTATCAAACTAAGGCTAGATAACCTGCAACACACTACAACTTCCAACTCAACCATGAGATTCAAAATTTCTGTTTCACCTTGATTAATGCCCTTGGGCATGTCCTTACTGCTCTTATCAGTTGTCAATCTAGAATAATCTCTGTTTACCTTTGGGTCGGTTCAGGTGACTGGCTGGCTCTTAGCGTTTCGATTTGTCAAGTTATTTCTAAATCTGCATCAACTTTAGCCAACCATAGTCCCTTGGCCAAATCCTACCAGTTTCTTTTGCTTTTTATGGTGGCCTCTTATGCTTAGATATGCTTTAAAAATTAACCTACCAAAGCAATTAATCTACCAGTGGTCTGAAAACTGACCTACAGCTAGAGGGACATAAGACAAGAAAGTGTGTGATAAAAAGGCAAAGGAAACCATTTTGCAATTCAAATATTGCCAGAATGACTGCCTTTCCAAGGTACAATTTTAGTTTCAAAATATTAAAACCAAAACATTACTATTGCATAAAAACACTTTTTTTTTTTAACCTCTCCAAGCTCTTCATGAACTTCTTCCAAATACGTTGTTTCCTTGATATGATCAGGTTCAGGGTCAATGTACGAGTCATCCTGCCGCTCAGATGTGTCAGTGTCACTTTCTCCCAAGCCATCATTATCCGATTCATCGCGATCATGATCATTTTCCCTATCTGATTTATCAGAATACAGATCTGGATCTTTGAAGTGATGCCTTTCCATTTCACTATCATTTAGCCTTAAAAAAGAAGAGATAGGTTTCAATCCTGGGGCTTTCCTTTATACAGTTTAGCAGCTCAACTCAACTTATGGCTTTTGAGTGGTCAGTTCAGTAAACATTAGGCACGATAAAGTCAAATTTAAGCATTTTTCGGTCTCAATGGAAAAATTAAAAGCACATTTAAATGAGTGGGACACAGGAACATTTAAATTTGACTGGGATCTATCCCAAGTTTTAATTTATGCAACATCAATTTCAAAACTTTTTCATATGGTTTTACCTCTGTTTATACTATAGCATCATTACTTTATCACTAACCAAGTAACTATGCATATAAAAAGAACTGCAATTACTACAGCTTAGACTGCAATTGTATGTTTTTGCTTAGGTTTTATAGCAGACCTTACCCCATAGGCTCAGAGAAACAATCCATACTTTCCATTTTAGCTGTTTAAAATACATTTACATTTATACTCATACATAAGTAGTGATCAAATTAAGAATGTACTAAGCTTGCCAATTAAAATTGTAGATAACATTTTAGTATTAAAATATATAACATTTCTTGCAAAATACATCAATATGAGTTAATACAGAAATGTTTGTACAGCTACAACACTGTAATTAAAGGAATCATTGCAATAATTTATCTTTGAATTGAGTGCTACAGTCACAGTGTGGGGTCTTTTAGCAGCTCAAGCCACTGGTAAGTACCAGCATTGTGACTCACAGCTAACTCAACCAATCACCGCTCTGTAGTTTGTTGCTCCTGTAGTTGTATTGAGTGACTGAAACATAACAAGTGAGCTGAAGAGGAGTAGTAGGTGTGTGGCAATAGTTTCTATTTGTAGCTGTTTCATAACTTAGGGAAAACAATAGCAAACCAGTTCCATATCATAATGAATGTTTACTACAGGTGCAAACCCTATTCCAGAACTGGTGGTACTCAGGTATTGAAATGTGTTTGGGAGGGAGAAGATTACAGGCAGCTCCCCATTTATGCACGTTCAATATGTGTCCGACTGTATGTATGGAAGTGTATATGGAACTGTGTATATGGAAGTGACCAGGAAACATCATAAAGACATCACTGAAATGTCACTAAAAAGCAGGGCAGGGGGCAGAATGGGGTGTTTGCAGGCTTTTCCAATGGCTTTCAAATATACACGATTTCACCAACGTGTGTGATGCCTCGGTACGTAACCCCTGTGTAAACTGGGGGGTACCTGTATAGCCTCAAGGTATGGTGGAAATGGCCAGGAAATTCTATTTCCCAGGTCCCCCTACAAGTTAGCTCTATATTGATAATTGGGGTTTTTTTGGGGGGGGTAAGGAAATCATTATTGTGTTTGCAGGGAACAGCAAAAAAGAATTGTAACATTATTGAAGGGTGCAGGGCCGGAGGCAGCTTTTAAGTCATTCATTTGCCCATTTACCTAGTCTACATGGACCCTCTAGCAGTGTTAGAAACTGAGATATGGAAGCACCTTAAACCTAGCTTATGGGCGCAACAACGGAATGTCTAGGCACATTTTTTTAAAATAAAAATACAAAGCTGAAAATGAATGAACTGCAGCTAAAATATTCTGTTCATTTTTCACATGGTCTTGTAACCTTCCCCTGCCCCTAATATTCTTAAGAGGGTCTCTTCTCCAGTCTTCAGAGGGTAGCTGGAAGTGGGGAGGCAGAAAAAGGTCCTCCTTTCTTTTCACTCTGCAGTGTTAATCCAAAATCTTAGGCGCAGTACTGCACCCAGAGCTCAGAAACTGCTTGAGCATTAGTGAACTTCCCCGTCACAAAATGTGCCCAGAACAATGGGAGTTTCGAACACTGCCCTCTAGCATAGGTCTTCACCAGCCTATGAGAAGACTATGAGGTGGATGGTGTAAAAGAAAAAGGGAAGGATGAAAACATCTCTTCCCTCCATCTTATGTCCTCCCACAACCATAAACTAGCACATATAAGAACACAATTGCATCCTTAAGCATATCTGTACTCAACAGGTTAACATGTGAATATATAAAGAAACTAAAAAGTTACTTTTAGATACCATTATTTTCATACCATGTGCCTCTTGTGTGCTTATTTAAAAATTCTAGTGATATTTTCAGTAATTATAGCAAGCAGCAGGTTTGCCAAGACAGTGAAAAAAGTAACCAATAAAAGAAAACATTGGAAAACTATTTAACCTTGGAACAGGCTTCATGACCCCCACCCCCACCACAATAAAGGTTATAAATCTGAACAACTTACGGGAAGCTTTCACTACTATGCACGTTGTTTGCACGTAGCAGACCATAGAAAGACACGTGTGCACCATCTGTTAAGGTCACTTCATGCTCTTTACCTTCTCTAATCATTGTGCGCTTGAGCAAACCTGAACACTTCAAAGCCAGCTCCAATGCATCCATCCAACACCTACCTAAAAATACATATTTTTGGTTAGTATAATACCCCATGTTACTGAGTTCACCATTTGAACAGTATGCTAGATCTGCATTTCATATGGATGTACCTTTAAAGCGCAGAACTAGGATTTTATATCTGACCTCTTAAGACCAGAAATGATTATCTGTGCTCTTTCAACACATAGCCAGATTCCAACCATATTTTTGGTTAAGTCTCATTTACTTCAATAGGACATGTTTTTATTCATGTATGCTTGGGACTGCAGCACCAGTAGCTTCTGATATACTGGTGTGGGAAAGGCACTGAACTTCGGTCTGTATCCAAAAAAGTCTTCCCCCGTTAGCACAAGGTGTTCCTCTCCCTCTTCCCTTTCTGCACACCCCCTCTCCCATCTGTTCTCAAGGTTCCCCTCCCCGCAAAAATACCCTATGGAGCAGAGGTGGGAGAAGAGGAAGTCTCACTGCACAGGTGGGAGTCTGAATATATAGCCACAGAATCAATGAGTCATGTACATTCGACCAGCTGTGCCTTATAAGTCTTATAAGGCCGAAGTCTTCTGCAGGGAAGCTGTACCTATATTGCACTGTCTTTGTATTACCAAACTCTGGTTTTCATTTTTTTTAATCCACATTTATCCTACTGTGAATATTTTGAGAAAAAGAAATCTGGGGACAAAAAACATCTGGGCTACACATGGTGTTGCTGGTAAAAAAATATTTCCTGAAACTGTTCAATCACATTAGGATTTACTGTGTTACCCTTTGGAGAAAATGTTATTTACAGAATGTGCTTTTATTTACCATCTGATTCTGAAGCTGCTCGGATGATCAAGTAGCTGCTGGGTAGTGGTTGTGTTATGGATCCAACAGCTTCACCTTTAGGACCCTTAAAATACAAACAATATAGATGCAAGAGTTTTAGATTAATTTGAAGGCACAATTTTAATGAAATAGCTAGGATTCTCTGTCAATCAGCAATTGCTATTGCAATAACTCTATGTGACCAGTGGTCATACTTCACTGGAATCTGCTCTTCAGATTCCTTTTAAAAATATCCCCTATTTTGGATCCCCCTCCTCTTGAAAGGTCTTTAGAACTAAAATTTCCAGGTGCTTCTCCCACTCACTCCTGTATTATTATTATTTTTAAGAAAAAAAACATTGTAGAGGCCAAAATATTGGTGGCATTAAAAACTCTGATTACTCATTCATGTTGGGGTGGGAAGCAAGAAAGAAATGACAGCAAGAATACATTTAAGTAGAACATGCAGCTGGCGAAGAAGAAATGCACAGCCAACACCATCTGTACGCTTCCTTTCTTCAAACACTGTTGAGAAATTGGAAGGTAGCTCAGCTACAAGAAAAAACGTCACACATTTCGGTCTGGAGAGTTGGAATGATCCTCATTTGAAGCTCATGGACTCCCAAATGTGTGTAGATGAACAGGAGGGGGTGGACAGAGGACACTACAACTGAGTACATAAGAAGAGTCTGCTGGATCAGGTCAATGGCCGTCTATTCCAGTATCCTGTTCTCAAAGTGGTAATCCAGCTGCCTGTGGGGAGCACACAAGCAGGACCTGAGCACAAGAGCACGCTGCCCCACTTTCGACTCCCAGCAACTGCTGCGTCTGGCAGTGGAGGTGGAACACAGCCATCATGGCCAGCCCTGTTCAGGGAAGTTTTTAATCTGTGATATTCTACTGTATCTTTGGTTTCTATGGAAGCCGCCCAGAGTGGCTGGGGAAACCCAGCCAGATATGCAGGGTACAAATAATAATAATAATTAATAATAATAATAATGATAATTATTATTATTATTATTATTATTATTATTATTATTATTATTATTATATACCTGTTAACAGCCTTCTCCTCGATTTATTTATTTATTTAATCTTCATTAAAAACCATCTAAATTGATAACCATCACTTCCTCCTGTAGAAGCGAGTTCCAGTGTTAACGATACGCTGTGTGAAGAAGTCAACCTTTCCTCATAAGGGAGCTGCCCCATCCAACCGCCCAAACATTTTGGTTGGGTTTACTGGTTAGTATCCAGAATATTCAGTAGCAGAGCCAAAAGGCATAGAAGTTATACTGCCTCGTGTATCAAGAGATCCAAACACCATTAAGTGTAATTATGGATTCTCACAAGAGATCCATCCACAAATGGATTGGGCCCTTTTTGGTTGTCTTGGGGATGGAGGTACATGTAATTCAGGTGATGGCTTTGTTCCTAATATCCAGGGCTGATTTCTGCTGCTAACCCATTTTTAAGTGGACTCTAGGTGGGATATGGAGGCACTTTGTGTTCTCCAGGTACAATCTTCTATCCTCCTGTTGGATCCACCCTCTCTTATATAACATCTTGGTAATCCCAGTAAGTTTACAATGTAATTTTAAGCAAAACAATACAAATATACATAAGACCAATAAAAAGTAACAAACATAATTCTCACAATAAAGGTAAAGGTAAAGGTACCCTGCCCGTACGGGCCAGTCTTGACAGACTCTGGGGTTGTGCGCCCATCTCACTTAAGAGGCCGGGGGCCAGCGCTGTCCGCAGACACTTCCGGGTCACGTGGCCAGCGTGACATCGCTGCTCTGGCGAGCCAGAGCCGCACACGGAAACGCCGTTTACCTTCCCGCCAGTAAGCGGTCCCTATTTATCTACTTGCACCTGGGGGTGCTTTCAAACTGCTAGGTTGGCAGGCGCTGGGACCGAGCAATGGGAGCGCACCCCGCCGCGGGGATCCGAACCACCGACCTTTCAATCGGCAAGCCCTAGGCGCTGAGGCTTTTACCCACAGCGCCACCCGCGTCCCTAATTCTCACAATACACACGCTAAAATAGGAACTTAAAACAGCAAAGTAAAAATGTGGCAATTTTTGATGTTTTAAAAGAGAATCTTCCCAATACAATTTTAAAGCACAAATCATTAAAAGGCCTGAGAGAATGAAAATATATTATCCTAATGCCTACAAGATAATAAAATAGGTACCATTAGGGATTCAGGAGCTGTTACACAGCATTACTGTGCACATTTTATATGGGCAAAGATTATGATTAGTGGCTGCTTTCACAATAAAGACCACACAGGATTATGCAAAAGACCAATACTTCTCCAATGCAACCACACTACTCAGGGCTTTGGGATGTCAGAAAATCAAGCAAATTTAGCAAAGGGATAGCTGAGCTGACAACTGAAAGCACACTGAGATCATTAATATTTAACAATGCAGATAGGTTTAATGTGTCATTGGTGTAATGTTCTATTCAACGCCACCTGCATTAAGAATACATATTCACTTACCTTAACAGCCCAGATGGATTGCTCCAAAGGATGGAAAAGTTTGAAACAAAATCCATCCTTTTTTGAAGGCCGCTCAATGAGTTCACAAGCGTTCAGAAGTACTGTTCCCACCCACTGGCCATTTTTGGGAGTTTTGTAAATAAGCAGTACTCCAGGTTTCAACACACACCAAAGTTTGGTCCAGCTTTTCAGTGTACCTCGAATCTTAACAGAAAAAAGAGAGACTTTTAATTTTAAGTACATTTTAAGAACATTTCAGTCCCAATCCCTCCTGGCCAAGCAGTAAGACCCTTCTTACAATATACACAACCAGTTCAGAATTGCAAAAATGAAGAAGAGTTATTCAAATCTCACACAAATACTTATAGGCACAACACATCTTAATGTTTGTATACTGTTAATTGAGCGTAACTAGTAAATCAAATTACCAAAGGATATCAACTGCACCATGCAGACAGTATTCCTTTAAAATGAAAACTAATTTACTATGTCAGAAGTTATTTTACATATGTAAATAAATACAGAAACTTGGGATGATTCCCATGCCTGCAGAATATGTCTCAACTGACACCAGTAGAGCCTACTGGTTAGGGAATGTACTTGAAATATGAAATGCAAGTTCAAATCCCTAATCAGAAACGAAGATCACTTTGTAGCCTTGAACAAATCACACTCTCTCAACCTAATTTAACTTTCATGGGTTTATGAGGATAAAACATTTCCTTTGAGAAGAGCAGGATACAAATGTAATCAATCAATGAAAAAAAGTAGTATGTTAACAGCCCTTACACTTTAGCCAATACAGGAAAACAAGGTACAAACAAGAGTTCAGGTGGAATATTTTATTGATCAGCAGAAGTAATTTAATTCTCCTGTGACATGCAAGAAACACACTGACATTAAGCAGCTTAGATTATTTGATACCCGTGCTACATTTACGTCCTCTTCCTGGAGCTATTCATATCATCATTGAAATTCACACATTTGAAACTCCCAGAGCTTTATGCTATCATGTATGAAATGTGGCTTGGTGAGTCTGCAAGAAGGAATCTGTTTTAAAGTAACAGTTTCCTGTTTCCAGAGGAATCACTCATAATTCACATTGTATTTAATATAAAGTGATCATCAATTCAATTAGTCACTGCAGACAGATGTAGCCATGGCAACCACTGTAAAGCAGTACTGAGCCTCTGGGATATAATTAATGGAGTTTTTCCTAGTGGTAAACATCAATCAGCAACCAACTAGGATCTGAATTCTTTTACATTCTGACAAATAAACAACAGCTACAACTTTCACTCAATATTACGCATAATTCCTGACCTTCAGCCAGTCAGCCATAACAATGACTGATGGGTCTGTGATTGTGCTAAGTAGTTCTTTTGTGGCTCTTTTCTTCTCTTCCCTGTAATTTTTCTTTTGAACCTGTAAATAATGAATGAACAATAAATTCAGAGGGTAAGAAATTTAAGAAAATGGAAGTCGTGGAGCTATAAATGCAAAGGTCAAAACAAACTGCAACATGCTTAGTTCAATCCATAGTAGTATGAAGAAAACGCAACAGTTTTAGAATAGCTGTTTATCTATCAGAAGAAGTGGCATTACATAATACTGCCTTCAAACCAATTTCATATAAAGCATGAATGGGGAACCTGAGACCCTTCAGATATTAACTCTACAGCCCCCATCAGCCCCAGCCAGCATGGCCAATGGTCAGGGATGATGGGAGTTCAGCAACATCTGGAGACTTGAAGTAGGGGTGGGTTATGATATATTGATATTTTGTCTCTTACTGCTATGAACTCCAGACCGACTGCAATAAATGTTTCATATTTTTTTACCCTGTAATATATTGAGAATGCACTGCCCAGCTTGCAGGCAGGAAGCAACACTTTACTGCAAAGTAAATGGCCAGGTTTTTTGCCTGCCCAATCTGCAAGGCATAAGCCCCTGCCACCTCCCAGCTGGCGTTGAAGAGTAAAAGGCTTTACTTTGAAGTAAAAGCTGCTTTCTGCCTGCACAATCTGTAAGGCGCAAGACAGACCCAGCATAGCAATAACCTTCCCTGCCAAGGCAGGGAGATTCTGATCAGAAAATATCCACGTGGCTTTGCTCTTGCTTTTGTTATGCAGGTTGGTTTAAGGCACACACCTCACCTCTTGCTAGACAGAACAGAGACCCAGCTTCCTGGCTGATCTGATAAGCAAACAATGTTTCTTTCCCCTTCATAAGATCCACATGGCAGAATAGACACCCAACATATTATCAAGCTAAGCACGACATCAGAGTCTCTACTCTGCCTAGCAAGAGCCTCTGGATCTTATTTGCTTGCGTATTGGAATCTTTGGTCCTAAGTAGTGCTGTGGACAGAGAATCAGCAAACAAAGTTTCTTCTTCCTGATACGATCAGTGTGGCTTGGCTTGGCTCCTGCTTCTGTTCAGGCAAGGAAGCAACAATTTACTTTTGCAGTAAAGGCTTAATGCATTTGGAAACTAAGGTGCGGACGATGCTGATGACTGGGCTGCTGCTGCCAGTTCAAATTTTAATTGCTGGTTTTAGATATAGTGATGCATTTTAAATACTGTTTTTTAAGCAGTTTGTTTTTATTACAGTGGTGCCTCGCAAGACGAAAAGAATCCGTTCCGCGATTCTCTTCGTCTAGCGGTTTTTTCGTCTTGCTAAGCAACCCTATTAGCGGCTTAGCAGCTTAGCGCTATTAGAGGTTTAGCGGCTATTAAAGGCTTAGCGGCTTAGCTGCTAAAAGGCTATTAGCGGTTTAGCGGCTTAGAAAAAGGGGGGGGAGCGGAAAAAAAATCGCAAGACTAGCAAGACGTTTCGTCTTGCGATGCAAGCCCATAGGGAAAATCGTATTGCGAAGCAACTCAAAAATGGAAAACCCTTTCGTCTAGCGGGTTTTCCGTCTTGCAAGGCATTCGTCTTGCGGGGCACCACTGTATTCTTTATACTATGACTGGTCTTTTTAAATGTTGTAAGCTGCCTTGAATTTCAACTTGGCAGGATATAAATATGTTATATAATAAATAAATAAAATAATATGAGAGGCAGTGGGGTGGAAGAACCCATGGAATGCTTTTCACTCAGCAAAGTAGTAATGGGCTGGTAACACATTTAATATTTCCAGCAGAAACAAGTCATGCCACATTCAAAGTGGTGGACAGCTTCTGTGCATCCCTAGCAGTAACAACCAGCACACCATATATACTTTATCTGTAGCCTAGTTTTTACAAAGGTGGTGAAGTCATGTCTGGGCTACACCATTCTAGACCACAGGTGGGAGTTAATAAGGTTGAATAATACCTGCATGAAAGTGAGCCCATAAACAGGCTTACAAACTCAATGAGAAGCAGACCTGCAGAGGGCAAAAAGTAATTTAGCTTCTTTTGTGTCCTCTCCCACACTCTAGAACTAGAGGGCTATGTTGGGGCTAGAAAAACACAGTGAATTCTGGAGAAAATTACGACATTGGTTGAGTAACAGCAGCACATCTTGGAATGTTCTATCATTTCTTTAAAGTTATTGTGTATCTCACATTTATCTTCTGAGGCCACTGAAAGGTGTCGTATTCCATAGCCAAAAGGCTGGAGATGGTAGGTTTTCTATTCTGGAAAGCAACTCACCTTAAGAGACTCCTTCTTTGTGAGCTTGGTAGTAGAGGAGCTGGGGGAGGAGGCAGTGATGTCCTTCTCAGAGCCATTATAAAGCTTAGATTCTGACTGAAAATATACATAACACAAGGAAATAATTAATGAAGGATTAGAGCAGTTGCTGTTCAGTCAAACTTCAAGCGAAGCATAGAAGCCACAAGTTTTTCAGATTGCTGCTTGCTCCCTTTATGTCGCTTCATTTAATCAAGGCATAGAAAGAGCTTGTAAATGAATCCTTCGTGTGGTACTTCAAAACGTTGGCTTCTTCTGTCATATCATTTAACAATAACCCAGTTTGAAGAAAGGAGTCAAAAACTTGACATTGTCCACTGAGCTTTACACATGCAAACACATGTCCAGTGCCACCTACACACTTACTTACCCCCTGGCCTCTCAAGGAAAACATGGAATTTCTCCAGACTAAGATCTGCTCCCTGAATCTGTTATATCGGTGTTATTCAAATACATTATTACAGCCTGCTTTCCCCAAAACACCCTAATTCTAGAGATCCATAACTTCACCTCACTTAAGTGCCTTTACCACTGAAAATATTTCTTTATTAAACATGCTGCTGTGGCATCACATGGCTTTTATTTATCCTGCCTTGAAAGTTCTAAAAATGGTTTCCCTGCATGTGCCACCCAATAGCTGGGGGGGGGGGACTGGTGGTGAATGACAGATGAACCCTGCAGAGTTGCAGAGCTATTCTAGCAGTCTATCATCACTCAACATTGGTTGATAATATAACCAAGTTAACTCATTAGGAACGTCTCAGCATCTAGTACTGACTAAAAATAAACTTTGGATGAGTTACAAGGCATTTGTTACCCTGTATAGCAAAACACGTTTTATTGACACAAATTGTTTAATACTGAGATGCCCAGGAACCAGCCAAATCTGCTGGCTAAAATTAAGGCTACCCTCCCCCAAAAAAAACCACACTATTTTACTAAGTTTTCAGAGACAGAGGAAGGGAGGGAGGGAGGGAGGGAGGGAGGGAGGGAGGGAGGGAAAGAGAAAGAGCACACACATAAACACCCACCAATCTCAAGAAAATGAGACAAAAGCTCTAATCCACCAAGCTCAGTCACATGTACACATACGAAAGTACATACTTTCTTAACCTGGATTTGGCACAGTGAAAGCTTTGGTCACCTTGGCTTTTTATTTGTATGAGGAGAGGAACTCCAACCTTGTTGATTCTCCTTGAGCTCTCAATGGCTTGTCATACCATTGACCATGGTATCCTCATGGACTGGCTCCATTCAACAGAAGTTGGAGGCAGTGCATTACTGTGGTTCTGTCCCTATTTGATGGCCCAAGTTTAGAGAACCGCTCTGGGAGATTTCTGTTTGTTCCCATGGGAATTATATTGTGGGGATCAATTCTGTCTTCCATGCTGTTTAACACCTAAGTGAAGTCATTGGGTGCCATCATCAAAGGATTCTGGATGAGTCATCATCAAGGCACTCTGCTCTATATCTTTTCCAACAGAAGCAGATGGAAGCTGTTCAGAAGCTGAACTTGTGCCGGGGGGGGGACGGGACGGGGACGAGTGGGTGGTCTGGATGGGAGCCAAAAACCAAGCCTGAACCCTGAGAAGGGTTCTATGGCTTGGTAGTTTGTATCTTGTTCAAGTGTGAGTTGCACTCACCATAAAACATATAGCATGTAGTACAGTAGAACCCGCAACTTACCTGGGGGCTATGTTCTGGGGATTGCGCCTAAAACCAAAATCATGTATAGTCAAAATTCATTGGATTCAACGGCAGAGAGGTTTCCCAAAGTCATTTCCCCCAGAACCCCGCCCCCTTTCTATTTTTTAATTGACATGCATGTAAAGCTGAATGTGCACAAGTGAAATGCACATAAGTTGCTGGTTTACTTGTGGATTCTGCCTTGTCACTGGAGGCTCCAATGCCTACTGCCAGCTATGGCTAGTTCATCTAAAATAATATGCCTCATACTTAACCAGGTAGCTAATAGAATTCACCAAAGGCCCACTGCATCTCCTGAGCAGCCCTCACTTTTTTCACAAACTGGCTTTAAAAACAAATATTAGTGCTTGCTTTTATGCTATAACCAAAGATTACACATAAACATAATTCACCTTACTATTTAAAATAAGCCACAAATGAGATAGGTAGGGAAAAGATTAAATTAATTGCAACTACGTATCCAAGCTCACTTAGATGCATCAAACTGAACTATGCTGTCTGAAGGTTAAGGTGCTCACCTTGCTTTTTGACATTGATTGCGTAGAATCATCTTTACTTTGTGATGCATCATCCTTCCCTCTGTCAAAACCTTGAAGAAAAATTGAAATGGTTTCAAAAAATCAGTGTATCCCATATGCCATTAAGGTTGAAATCCTAAATAAGACAAAGCTATTAAAACTCTGACCAAATATACTTAGGGACATGGTGTATATGTCACCATTTGTTCACCAAATGTTTCTGTAATTCCTTTACAACTAGCATTTTTTTTTTTGTTTAATATTAAAGCCATGTTGTGAGAGACCTAGGGTCCAAAAGTGGTTATTTTCCCAACCTACAAAGCTCAAAGCATGAATGGTAGTTATCAACCCTGTCCCAATTTAATACATTTGTATTTTACCTTCCAGGCATTCAGAGATACCTCAATTACTCAGTTATATGAAAATATCCAACTACAGTACTAGTAGCACGTAGCACAACATAGATAAGCACAGAGAGTTTCAGTCCACAGGAGAACTGGCTTGCCAGCCCAGCCCCAGGTTACAGCAGTTCCAACAATGCAAAGCCTTCTCATCAGGCACCAGAAAAATAAGATGGAAGTGGAATCTAATAATAAATTCATGATCGAGTAAGCCGCTAGGATTAGGCATTATCATATTCACACCATACCACCACACACATCCAGGGATGTGAACTAATCAATGGAGCATAAAACAGAATGAAGCAGAGCTTGTGCAAAGCCAAGTAAGGAGAGTAGTGCTAACAAGCCGTTTCTACTCCATGTGTTAATAAAGGCAGATCGGAGTAACTACATTCTTCAAAGTGCCAAGTGAATTCACTTATCTTAATCAGAAATTCCTCAGGAAAGTATTAGCTGCAAATGTTATCTTCCTGGTAAACTTACCAGGAGCTTAGGAAACTCCAAGAACAATTTAGGATTAACTGAGATTTGGCAGCAACTTCTACATGCACAGCCTTTCTTTGGACATTTGTATGGCCAAGGGGCAAGGGCCAGTGCGCAATATCTTACTGCTCCAAGCATTCATGTACCTTGTGATATGTCTAGAGAATGGGGCTCATGACACCACAATTAATGTCTAGGGTGCTCTACTCTTCATACAAAGTCAGTGAGCAAGTTACACGCACATAAACTGGTTTTAAAAAAGAAAGAAGGAATGTGAATCAAATGCCAACTCCTGACATATTCAACAGCATGAAATTCATAATAACAGATATTGTGTTTCCCTCGCCCAGATAATTCATGTAAAAGGCTATAATTAAGGTAAGGTTGCAGTACCTAAGTTAACTACACTGTCTTGCATTTGAGATCTAGCACACATACATCTCACTTTGTCATATGTGAGTATTAAACCACTCTAAATGCCAAACTGGATTTTTAGTAAGATATGGCATCAACTCAGTAAAAGTAACAACATACTTCCTTACAAGAGTTGTTATGCAACTTACTGGCTTGGTTTAGATATCATGAAGACCAAACTATGAAAATGAAACATGCAATGTTGTGGTTACATTCAGAACTCTGTAATAAGTGACTGAAGCTGCAGTTATACAAGTACAGCAAACCTACTTGTCCTTTGTTTTGTTGTATAAACGTTTATTACTTACACAAAAAAACATGAAAAGAGGGAGCATTATTTCTAGTTTCCAGGGGATTCACATCATGTTTGTGTTGAAACTACTAACTACAAAAGAAGAGGTAGACAACTAATAGGTACATTAAAATGAAATTAGCTTGAAGGTTGCAATTGTCTTAAATAAATCAATTTTTACAGTAGTACTAACTCACACATTTACAGTAACCTTGCAATTGTGCATTTTCAAGACTGATCAAGTCCATTAGAACCAATACAAACTAGATATACAACATTATGAGTATTTCCAAGTTATTATTCAGGAATGTAAGGATTAAAGCACACAACACTGATTAACATGGCCTCAAATTTTACATTTTAAGATTACTTCTAACAGTCAAAAGTCCTGCTATGTTGTCTACTCCAGATTTCAAAAGGACCTGCACCTAATTAGAAGCCATGTTCCGTTTACTTGAAAATCATTTGGTTGTAGATTCCAGTATGTTGAAAATTCTCTTAAATTGCAGGTAAGAAAAACACCACCCATATTCAGTCAAGTATCATTCTCATTATATAATATCATCATCATCATCATGTACAATCACACGCAATCTACAATGAAGCATTCCGTTCTTTATGCTGAACTTAAAGAAAGCGCTGCCCGAGAACACATGCCAACCATGAATCATTATTTCCAAATCTCGTTTTATTTTATGCAACGTGAATCCAGGTGCTTTTTCAGCTTAGAAAATTGCTTTTTTAAAATAAAGTAGTATTTGTAGAAGCTTTTACAAGAAATATTTTCATGAGAACATTAAAAAGTGAGACAAAACAAACCTCGGAAGACTGGTGAAAGTGCATTGTATCCTCCGAATGAAGCATTCCGGACAAGTTTCCGACCATCAGCCCGTGGAGGCAGCGAAACTCCAGCACATGAAGAAAACCTACGTCGCTGTGGACCTTCTGCCTTCATGAGTTAGATGCTCTGTATAATGATTATTTTCATTCAGAAGGATGACGGGAATAAGAACGTTGCAGAAAGTCTTTTCCCTTCACATTCAGATTAGCAGCATGCAAGACCCACAAAGATCAAGTGCCATGTGCACACTTTGAACAAGGAGAGATGCCAGAGGCTGTTGAACTTTGTAACCAAGCTAAGAGATGTTTATGAATTCAATCCAAGCTGCTACCATTCCTCCATCAATAACATGTCATATTTCAGTCAGCATGCCCCGAAACAAGCTGTTACTCTTCATTGTTTTGCAGGCACCAGACAACTGTCATGACAAAGTACATCAGAATGGAGGAGTTATTAAAGAAATTCCTTTGCTGCCTAATCATTCAAGCTCTATTTTATTGCACACAGAACAATTATGAGTATACTTCTAAAATTCACTCAAGAAAATTAAGAGTACTACTGAGAATCAGAGAAAGAATTTAAATGGAAACCCGTTTATTTTCAGTACTTTTTATTGTGGATTAACTAGCATTAGCCAGCAAGAACTCACATAAATGGCTCTGAAAGAAAAAGCACTACTTCTGAATGCAGTATTAGGGTACATTTTAGAAGGCAGGCACTAACTCCTATCATTTAAGCAATACCACAAAATAGACCCTTGCCAAAATAATTTCTGATACAGGAGTCAGAACTTCCGTCAGCAATTTCCAGAATTTAGCACAGAGTAACAAGTATCAAAAAAGTGTAAAGTGTTTATTGATGACTTTGCTTTTTAACATAATTAACAACTCCAGAGAAAGGGGGGTCACTTTTTTCATTAAATAGTTTAACATGTTTTCAACATGTTTAAATACAAGCTGTGGTATTTGCTCAACACTATACAACAACAATACTCAATAAATATAAGTAAAAATGTTATCTTCAGAAACCACAGGCTAACTCTTTTGATGGAAACAATTGAAACAGAATTTACGCTTAAAATTAAATTTCATTCAAAATTTTGCAAGCATTTGACTGCTTCACTTGCTCATCATGCAAATTAGTTAGGTGGTCAGTTTTGCCTGCTTTCCATTCAAAATGTCTAACTTTATACAACATTTTTAATTCAAAAAATCCCCTTTCAAGTCAATTTCTCCTTCCTTTGATGAGTCATTAAAAAAACCAACAGATATTCTATAGCTGAGATCCAAGGTTGTTTTTTTAAGCCATCATTTTGCCTGAATTCACGAAATGAAATATAGCAAGAAATCTAAAAGCTTGTTCAGTGGGGGGGGGGGATCAAGAAAATTCTTAAGATTTCAAACTATTTAATCTCATTGACTAACAAAACAGAAATGACTTAGATCCAACTATTTGTACCATATAACAGACTTTTTTTTAAAAAAAAAATCTGTTTAAATCTGGCAACTGTCAGGTTTAAGCTATACAATAAAAATATATTAATTTACTATATTTTTACCCTGCTTTTCACACAATTACTGTCTCCCAAAATGGCAAAGAGAGAGAGTATGCGTGTGTGTAAAAGAAAGGCCCACCATCATTCTATTCATATTCTTTTGGATCTCCTGCTTTTCATTACTAGATACCAAATGTTCTGACCCATTAACAGAACACAAACCACTAATACATCCCTCCCTGACCTGATGGGGAATCCTCATCCTCTGAGCTCACACAGAAGGTCACACACATCCTGTTAGACTCCTTTCCCTCCTGCCTGCTTTTCCAGTATAGAAGTGAGACAGTGCCAACATTCCGCAATAAGATATTCTGCTTTGGATACTCTTCATGCATCTCACTCTCAATTTCTCACGCTGTATGTGAAATCCATATAACTTACATACGGACACAGCTTAGATCCCCTTAACAGCTAGAAAACTGTTAACTGAAAGCTATGACAGAACTTAGTTCTCATATGTACAATCTGTTACAACCTTTGTACCACAAAGGCTCACATTATATTTTTATCACTTTAATAATGGGAAATGTCATGCTATTTAAAAAGAAAAAAAAGTGCAGTTTCACTATTTATTATAATGATACATATTATAATATTAACACACCCACAGAACCTGTTCTTGAGCGTAGGGATCTAAGGACGGAACTAGAGGTTACAAGAGAAACAATGGTTTCCATAGCAACACCAAAGTGGGAAAGGGAGGCACCTGAAGGAGAAAATCAGTGGGGTGGGGGAACAGTAGTATTTAACCCATTCTCTGTCCACCAGTTCTACCCTACAAATCCACACACACACCCCAACTGGCTATTTAAAATTTGTATCTCCCCAGCCAGGCCATGAAACTGGAAATAAGCTCAACAGAGAGAAAACCAAGAACATTTGTGAAAATAAATCACCCTGTATGGGAAGATTAAGCACCCCTCCCTCCCCTCCCTCTTGCCACTGACCCTTCTTGGTAAGTGCCTTTTACCCTATAATACGCTTGTTAGCCATGCAAACACTAATGGACGGTAAACATTCAACAAGGAGTGCACCCCAAATCTGTCATATGGTTTAACTACTCAAAAAAAGCAGGGTCATTGTTC